ACATTTCCATTGAAATCTACCTGATGACTTTATATCCATGCTCAGATTTCATGGAGCTCAGAAAGTAACTGACTGTCTCTAGTAATAATCAGATATATAGAGATTAGAAATGCACGTGCAAACATCTTAATGTCAATTGCATTGAAAATCAATTTTTCTGTATGAAACTGTGTATTTTAATAATGTAATGGAGATCTTTTTTAAAGTTTAAAACCTCATTTAATTCTATGTCTTATAGGGGTTATACAGAGTACAATATTATATAACTATATCAATTCAACTGTAAACCTAAAAATTTACAGGCAATTTTGAAAGAGATGCATCCTTGCTCTGGAAATTGTTATTGAATATGTCAATGCTGTTGTCATGAAATGCTTCTTCTAATAATATGGTTATTAAATAAATAATTTTTTTAAAAAAGAAAAGTATGTAAGTTCATCTTTCTAGCAATTTATATCCCTCTTCCCCTTCTTTCACCTGTAATAAATAGGCTACTTTAGCACTCTTTCTCAGCTCTACTACACATCACGTTATTATCAATCATATTGCTATCTGCATTTGGGAAATGGCTTCTAGGAAAGTAGAGCACGGGGAGGACTAGTGGGGGTACATTTTTGCTCTGAAGCATATCAATTTTATTTTGAGTTTTTTCACATAGACTGATTTTATTTCTTGGTCACTTAAGTTTGTACTTCTATAATAAATACCATGGCTAATTTTTAAAAATTCTGTCGGGGGGATTATGTATACTCATTTGATCTGCGATGAAATTTTCCATTTATCCAGATAGTAGCATTATAATTGTAATGCTTTCTTTGCAACCAAGTGGATTTAAGAATGGACAAGGGCCGCTCCTCCTTAAGTACAAGTTCTCATTACCTCTGGAAAGTCATCCATTCCTGAAAAGACATCAGGCTCTTTGATTCTTGCCCCACGATGGTCTTTTCGTTTGATTTTCTTCAGGAAACCACGTCCACGACTAATAGTAAAACTTTTAACCCGATATTCAGTACCTAAAAAAGTTAAAAAGTACTTCAAATATTACAGGAAATCAGCATAGCTATCCATCTATTAGCTTACAGCTAATAGTATATTTTTAAAGACTACAGCATACAGTACATCATCCTTCTTTTCCTCCTCAGATTCAATGAAACAAGTTTATCGATGGTTACATTTTATCTCCTAGGTACTGCTTCCTAGTCAAAGAGCAAGTGAGGTTAATAACACAGGACACGAGAAATAAGCACAGTCATGCCTAGAGAAGCCCGACTGCAGTTTCCCCCACTGTCCCAAAAGAGACTTTTAACAAGTCTCTGTTTTAAGAGAATAAAGCGTCATATTCATTTTTAAGAAAGACAGGATAGAGCTGAGCATGGTGACACAGGTCTTTAATCCCAGCACTCGGGAGGAAAAGGCAGGCAAATCTCTGTGAGTTCAAGGCCAGTTGGAGCTACGGGGAGACCCTGTCTCAAAATGACAAAAAATAAAAAATAAATTTAAAAAAAAATCATAGATACTAGTGGTTGATAACCACTAGTATCTATGACACCATAAAAAAAACAAAACTTATGAATCATAGGAATACAGGAAGGAGAAGAATCTCAAGATAATGGAATGGAATAGATCTTCAACAAGATTGTAGAAGAGAATTTCCCAAAATTAAAAAAAAAAAAAACATGCTCATATAAATACAAGAAGTATAGAACACCAAATAGACAGAACCAGAAAAGAAACTCTCCACGGCACATCACAGTAAAAACACTAAATGTTCAGAACAAAGAGACAATACTGAAAACTGCAAAAGAAAAACAACAAATCACATATAAAGGAAAACCCATTAGGATTACAGCTGACTTTTCAGTGCAAACTATGAAAGCCAGAAGACCCTGGCCCAAAGTATTCCCACTTCTAAATGACCACAGATGCCAAGCCAGATTACTATATCCAGCCAAAATATCTATCATAGTTGAAAGGGAAAGAAAAATCTTCCAGGACATAGATAGGCTGAAAGAATTCATGTCCACAAAACCAGCCCTTCAGAGAGTTCTTGAAGCAATACAAAGACCTGAAGAAAGGAACGACTATACACAAGGGGTGACGGAAAGAAATTCAATGAGGGTATAATTGTGGAAATGCACAGCTATATCAAGAATGTGAACAGAAATAAAAATGACAGGATTCAATACACATCTTTCATTAATAACTTTAAATGTCAATGGACTGAACTACCCAGTCAAAAGATACAGACTAGTTGAATGGATTAAGAAACAAAACCCATCTTTTTGTTGTCT